TGCAACCTGTGAAGCTAACGGCAGCCACTGCCGCACGAGTTTGATCCCTGGCCAGGGAGCAACCCACATGGCACAGCAGACCTCTCTTGACTCGCCCGCTACACCCCTCAGCAGTGTATTTCAGTCAATCTGCCTGTTCTGTTCCCCACTCTATCTCTGGTGAATCCTCTCAACTCCCGCACCTCTGGCCTGTACCCCATTCTTATATGCATAAATAAATAAATATTTAAAAAAAAGAAGAAGTTAACATCTAGGGCCTCCCTGGTGGTGCAAGGGGTTAAGACACAACCTATGAAGCTATCCACAGCCACTATAGCACGAGTCCATCCCCAGCCAGGGATCTACCCACATGACTCAGCAGACCTCTCCTGACTCGCCCGCTGCTCCCTTCAGCTGTGTATTTCAGTCAATCCACCTGTTCTGCTCCCCACTCTGTCTCTGGTAAATCCTCTCACCATTCGCCCACACACACCTCTGGTCTATACACCAGCTTTTTCATGCATAAATAAGTCTTAAAAAAAAATAGAATTTGGGCCTCCCCTGGTGGTGCAGCAGTTGAGCGCTGGGCTGCAAAGCTGCCCACAGCCTCTGCAGTGTGGGTTCGATCCCCGGCTGCAGGCAAGGGTCCCACATGGCACGCAGACCTCTCCTGCCACGACTGCTGCTCCCCTCAGCAGTGTATTTCATCAGACTGCCTGTTCTGTTCCCTGCTTTGGCTCTGGTGAATTCTCTCACCCTCCTGCGCTTCTGACTGTACCCAGTGCTTGTATAAAAATAAATAAATAAATCTTTAAAAAAAATAGAGTTCTGGGCCTCCCAGGTGGCGCAAGAGGTTAAGCACTGTACTATGAAGCAATCCGCAGCCTCAGCAGCACAAGTTCGATCCCCTGGCCGGCCAGGGAGCAATCCACATGGCGCAGCAGACCTCTCCTGCCTCCCCCGCTGCTCCCCTCAGCAGTGTATTTCAGTCAGTCTGCCTGTTCTGTTCCCCACTCCGTCTCTGGTGATCCTCTCACCCCCCTTCCCACATCTCTGGCCTGTATCCTAGTCTTGTATGCATAAATAATAAATCTTTTAAAAAAAAAAAGAAAGTATACCAAATAAAATCTGGCAACAACCCAAGTGCCCAAAAACAGATGACTGCATCAAGAAGATGTGGTATATATATATATATATATATATATATACACACACACAATGGAATATTATTCAGCAATCAAAAAAAGATAAACTGTCATTCACAGCGACATGGATGGAGCTAGATGGAATTATGCTCAGTGAAATAAGTCAGAAGGAAAAAGAAAAATATCTATGGTTTCACTCATAGGACTATATGGGAACCAAATAAGACATCAGGGGAAAAATTATAATAATACAAAACAAAACAAAACAAAAACAAACAAACAATTATAAACCAGAGACATCCTGCAAGGGAGGAGGAGGGAGGGAGATCAGAGAGAGAGAGGGTAGAGCATAGGGGACTGTGGTGATGGTTCATGGGTGAATTGGTAAGGGAAATTCTATGGGAACTACACCTGGGGGAGGGAGGGAGAAAGCTATGTGTATGAACTATGTGTAAAATATATATAAATTTTAAAAAAGAATTTTAAAAAAAGAAGAAATTATACCAAAATACACTGGGTGTTGCAGGGCAGTTTATACAAATTAGGATTGTTGAGGGAAAATGTTATTTAGAAAGTGGTTGTATAACAGGTTGGTGCCCGGGATAACGGGAAGTTCCAGGTTCCCTGCACCACCCAAAGGAGGGTGGAGCTGAGCAAGGAGAAGAAGCTGCAGAGGAGACCGAGGAAGTAAGGAAGCAGGATGGAGAGCCACAAGGAAACCTGGAGGAGGCACATGGAGCCGAGAGACTCCGCTTGCCCTTTGGTCGTGAACTGGGTGACACAGATGTGGGTGAGAGACCCATGGGGAGGTGACAATGGCAACTTTTATCATGATTTTGATTTTGCTCTTTTCCCCCTGGACTTGTCTGGTCGTTTCTGACCCTTTTCTGTGGGTCCCCACTGGAAGTTGCTTTAGACTTGTGGCAGACTTTGGGGCCTTGCTCTGGGCCAATCCTGTTTGAGTGGACTTTTACCCACGAGGGGACGGGTAACTGTGGGTGCTTGATTTAGAAACTATATTCTTGCCTTTCCTGTATTGTTTACTAAATGTATTAAAGTTCCTTTTCATTAAAGTCTCATATGTTTTTGTGTTGATGCGGCAGATGGCAGAAACTATTTAGAGCAGGCAGGTTTGCAGGGTCTGGGGAGCCCCTCTTCCTGCCCTATAACAGATTCTATATTGACTCATTAAGGATGATTAAAAGTTAGCAAAGGAGAAGCTGAGATAAAAGACTGTTTTGCCAAAAGTAAGTGCAAAGGCAAGATGCAGTCAGAGTGTGGTAGGAAGAAGAAATAAATGAGATGAACAGGGCCTTCTGTGCCATGCATAGGTTTAGTTTTGGACCTTGCCCTAAAGTCAATAAGGTTGAAAGAAAATGACGGTAAGATTTGTATTTTAGAAAGAGGGTAGACTGAGGTGGAAGAGGATAGAACATTAGTTAGCAGGCTTTTGCAGTCATCCAGGAGAGAAATAACAGACTAAACTAAAGCAGTGGCAATGGATATGGCTGATTCAAGATGTTCCGGGGAAAAAAATGTGGTCAGAGGGATGTTTGGAATTCAGTAGCCACACTAGTCTCCTTATGGTCCCTTAACAGTGCCAATTCTCACTCCAAGGGCCTTTATACTTGCTTTTCTTAGCGGAACACTGCCCGTGCTAAGATACATGCTTCTTGCTTCTTCTCCAAGCACCCTGTTATTTTCTTTTCAGGCACTTGCACTATTAGTGTCAGACACATTTGTGTGTTTGCTTAACATCTGACTTCTAGGTCCTCCCTGGTAGCACAAGGGGTTAAGCACAGCACTGTGAAGCTATCTGTAGCCTCTGCAGCACAAGTTTGATCCTCCGCCAGGAAGCTGCTCACATGGCGCAGCAGACTTCTGTCTTGCCTGCTGCTCCCCTCAGCAATGTATTTCAGTCAATCTGCCTGTTCTGTTCCCCGTTCTGTCTCTGGTGAATCCTCTAACCCCCCGCACCTCTGGCCTATACCCCAGTTCTTGTATGCATGAATAAATAAATCTTTAAAAAAATTTTAAAAACCCACCTGATTCCTGCTGTGGAAGATCTTTAGGGCAGGAATATGTCTGTTCATTAACCACTGAATTACCAGTATGGAGTACTGTTGTATGTAAACAGTAGGTATTCAGTGATAATGTTGAAGGAGTAACTCACAGATTGATGCTTTGGTGACCGGTTCTACCTAATGAAGTCTAAAGACACACCAAGTCCAGACACATAAAAGTAGGGGCAGGGATTAACAACAGTCATTGCTTACTGAGTTAACTCCAAACTCTTACCTATTTATTTATTGATTTATTTATTTATATTTAAATTTTATTTTTTATATTCCCCATGCAATTACAACCCCCTTATTTTGACCCCAAGCCCTCCTTTCCCCGCACCCCCAACCCCCATAGAGTGTCTCTGGTTCATAGTTGTTTGTTGATTTTGATTTTTTCTTTCTTATAATTATTCTTTTTCCTGGTCCCTTTTTTAAGTTTTCTAGATTCCTGCTATGAGTGAAACCATCCGGAATTTTTCTTTTTCTTTCTGGCTTATTTCGCTGAGCATGATCCCTTCCAGCTCCATCCATGTTGCTGCAAATTGCATGTGTTTATCTTTTTTCAATGCTGCAAACTCTTACCTATTTAATTTTCAGGATTTTGATTAACCTGGGCAATGCTCCAAGTCTTCCAGTCTCACTGGACCTCCTTTCCTCACACTCATCTGCAGCTTCACCGTATTTTCCCAAACTCTTATTTGGAACTTCATCCCCTTCCTGTCCTCGAATTCCCTTTCCTTAAAGATTCGCATCCTCAACACCCTTTCTCTGATGGGGTCTACCAATCTCCAATTCAATTCCATTTGGGTACAGGATTTGGTGACACATTTGTGAAATGCCAGCCCGGGTGAACCCCACTTGGGGAGAAATCTCCATGGTGAAAGATGGTTTCCCCGCGCTTGAAATGCTGGCCCGAGAGGTTAGAAAGAAATGCTGCAGAGGAACAGCGTGAAGATGCAATGTACTAGAACAAGCCCTGGCCTAGACCTGGTGTTTGATCACCGGCTGTGTGACCAGAAAGGTAGGTCGGGGGGTAGCTGACAGGTGGGCCCTGGCTTCAGAAGTGGGGTGAAGCGCCGCCGGCGGGCCTCCCAGCCATGGAGACACGCTCCCTGCCTTCAGCCCCGCGCCTCGAGCCCGCCCTTCCACAGCGCAGCGACAGTTAACGTGGCCCCAGTTCGGATACCACCACCGGCAGGCAGGCGGCGAGGCAAGGAGAAAGCACCGCCGGCGCGGGAACAGCGCCCGCGTGACGCAAGCCCGGCTACCAAGAGCAGCCCCTCGGAATCTGTGCAAATGCGCCGAGAGTAGCGACACTCAAAACCGTTTTCTTCCCAGACAATTCACAGCACTGGAAAGACTGCACAGAGAACGCGCGGGAAAGTCGCCGCCACCTCCCATGACCCCACACATTGGCTAATCCCGCTGTCGTTCCTGGAGGCCCGCCTTCCCTGCTCGCGGGCGATGTTCTCATTGGCTAACTCACGCCAACTGTCTGCCCTCATTGGCCAGTCGCTTCATTCGTCCTGTTCAGGCGGAGGAGACAGGCGGAGAGCTGCAAGGCGACCCACCCCACCCGCGCACAGGCGCGTCGGTGTTGGGGTTGGAGGCCCCGCCTCCGCGTGCCGTGTGCAAAAACAAACAGCCGTTAGGAGGAGGTTCTGGGGGCGGAGCCATCTAGAAGAAGGCGCGCAATTGGGCAGCCGCCAGGGTTCAAACCAACAAGGCGAGCAGGCATTGGTCGGGGCGGCGCGAGGCGGGTCCCGGTTATTGTCCGGGCTCCGGTGGCGGCGTCGGCGGTCGGTGCTGCGGGAGCGGCGGCGGCGGCGGTAGCGGCGGCTCGGCAGGAGCGAGGGCGGGAGCGGCCGAGACCATGGTGAGGGCGGCGGGGCGGGCGTGAGACAGCGGGAGGGCGGCGGTGGTTGGGCCGCGCCGCTACCTGTTGAGGCGGGCGGGCAGCGGGCGGGTGGCGGCGGCGGGTGGGCGGGCTGCAGGCGGCGCTACCCGAAGTCTCGGCCTCGCCCGCCCGGGCGCCCAGGCGGTGGCGGCCCTCCCTCACGGCCGCGCTTCCCCGCCCCAGCGACCGACTTTCGGTCTTAGATTGTACGTGGTTTCCTCCTGAAATGCAAATCGGTAAGAAAAGTGCGGCTCTTTGAAAACCTAAGCGGAGAAAACTTGAGTTGGTTGGAGAGTTGGGAAGAGTAACCGTGCCCCGCCGGAGTCGCGGAGCCGCGGTCCTCCGCGGTCGGGCTGCCCGCCGCGGCGCTGCGCGGGAACTGGAGCGGCGCAGCCCCTGAGAGGACGGGAGTCCTGTTTACTGTGAAATTCTCGCGTCTTCAGACTGGGACGCACCTCTGGGCAATGGCTCGCGACCTGCACCCTGCACCCTGCGGGGTGTGGTGGTTGTGCCGCGCTTTGTGGCGAGCGGACCCGCGGCGGCTGAGGGACGGTTCCGTTTCCTCGTTTCCGCGGTCGGGCACCTTGCTCAGCTCACGATTGTCCTGATCCTTGCTGGTCTTGAGGTGTTGCTCGCTCGGTCTCGGCGATGTGCTGCCAAGTCCTGGAGAGAGGTTCTGGGAGACTTCGAGCTAAGTGAGACCACTGTAAACAAAACAGACCCTCCGGTAACCTCGCTTAGCTCGTGTCCCTGGGGAGGATTTTTTTTTTTCCATCGTTATGAGAAAAACCCCGTTGATCGAAACCTCGATGAAAGAAAAGACGTGACTCGAGGACTTTCGGTATCTTTGGTGTCCCTTCGCTGGTAGCTAAAAATACATAGCATTAGCATACGCTAAAAATACTGGAGGCATTGAGTTGTCAGTCTTGTTTTTGAGATTTTAAATTGAGAATAAGCGACCGCGTCGGTTAAACTATGGGAAAATGTCTTGGTATCCAGTTTTCGAGTCTTTTTGAATGAAATGTACTCCACATCTCTCCATTAGGGATATTTTCAATCAGCTTAACCCAGCTCAATAGTAATTCACTTCTGAGAATTAAAAATATTATATTGCTTTTGCTTTGTTTTTCAGTCAGCATCTGTGCTAAAATGAATATGCAAAAGTCACTGAGTTTGAGAGGGTAATGAGAAAGTATTGGGGATGGTGCACGGGTGAATTGGTGGTGGGAATTTTACAGAAACTACACCTGAGAGGAGAAAGCATACATTGTTCAAAAAAAGAATAGTGTAAAATTTTTTAAAAAAGGAAAAAGTAATTATTCACATATTTCACAGTTTTATTTCACAAGTTTGATACCATAAAAGTTTGTTTTTGTTTTTTTTTTAAAGATTTGCTTGTTTATTTATACAAGCACTGAGTACAGTCAGAAGCGCGGGAGGGTGAGAGAATTCACCAGAGCCAGAGCGGGGAGCAGAGCAGGCAGAAGGACCAAAGTACACTGCTGAGGGGAGCAGCGGGCGGCAGGAGAGGTCTGCGCGCCATGTGGGACCCTCCTCCGGTGGCCGGGGATCCAACTGGCGCTGCAGAGGCTGCTGGCAGCTTCGCAGCCCAGCGCTCAATATCTATGCCACCAGGGGAGGCCCGCCTTTGGTGCCTTTTAATTGACAACTGTTTTTCAATTGTTATTTTCCAAATCCAGTGATAGACAGTGATTAGAATTTTAGATTCATGCCCTAGTTGAGAGGTTTTTAAGTGTTTTGTAGTAGACCAGATAGGACTGTAAAGATTTCTTTATTTGGGGAAGAGGTGAGAATATATTGTTACTTGAGCTGACCCAGAAGTTAAAAAAAAAAAGTATGCAATATCTTATATAAACTTATCATCAGGAAGTATTAAAATACATGAGGCATCCTGATAGTAATCTAGATGAGGCATCCTGATAGTAATCTAGAGATTCTCAGTTCTCTCTTATCCTTAAATCAGTCTCTTGCTAAAATGTTAAATATAAAAAAACATATTGGAGGCTCCCTGGTGGTGCAAGGGAGTAAGTCTCAGCACTGTGAAACTATCTGCAGCCAGTGCAACAGGAGTTGGTTGGATCCCGACCAGGGAGCTAGCCCACATGGCACAGCAGACCTCTCCTGTCTCACCCACTGCTCCCCTCAGCAGTGTATTTCAGTCCATTCACCTGTTCTGTTCCCCACTCTGTCTCTGGTGAATCCTTCCCCCCCACACACACACCCCCCTGGCCAGCACCCCAGCTCTTGTATGCATAATTGAATAAATCTTTTTAAAAAAACATATTAATTCATTCTTAGGCTTTTATTTTATGGTTTTGAAAGATGAACATTAAATCAACTAAAGCATGCAATTGGGAACTAAAGCAGTTGATTTTTAGCTTTAAGTTTTTCAGGATAGCATTATAAAGGGAATATACCATTTTAAATTATCCTCTAATTTAAAAATATAGAGTTGCAGACGGTGATCCAATCTTATAAACTGATTTTTTTTTTAACTAGTTGCATGTACTTTGCCTTTTTCACATGGAAATGTTTTGTGTGTGTTCTTTATCTACACATTTCTGTAACTCATTGAAATGGCTGCATAATATTCCCTTGCATTTATATACCATATTCTATTAGTGAACATTAAACATATTTTTAAAGTATTTCTATTAGTTGAAAGTAGTATTTAACTACTTCAGTATACACCTGAAATTTTTTTCCCAAACGTGAGATTTGCTATTTTAGACTTTTTTTACAGTGACATTAAGTACAATAATATACAGTCATCCCTGCCAGTCATCTGCAGAACTTTTTCTTCTTCTCAAACTGAAACTGCACCCATTAAACAGTAATTCTCATTCCATTCCATTTCCCCTTCCCAGCCTCTGGCAAACACCATCTCTGAATTGGGCTTGGTACCTCATGTAAGCAGAATCATAAAATGTTTGTTTATAAACATTTGTTTATAAATGTATATGTAAGCATTTGTTTATAAACGTATATATAAACTTATGTATAAAACTTATAAAGGGGCCTCCCTGGTGGCACAAGGGTTAAGTCTCAGCACTATGAAGCTATCCACAGCCACTACAGCACAAGTTCCATCCCCAGGGCCAGGGGGCTAGCCCACAAAGCACAGCAAACCTCTTCTGTCTCTACCACTCCTCCCTTTGGCAGTGTATTTCAGTCATTCTCTCTGTTCTGCTCTTCACTCTGTCTCTGGTGAATCCTCTCACCCCCTGCACTGGATCACGAAGATGTGGTATATATACATAATGGAATCCTATTCAGCAATCAAAAAATATAAACTCATGCCATTATCAGCCTCATGGTTGGAGCTGGAAGGAATTATGCTCAGAGTAATAAGTCAGAAGGAAAAAGAAAAATATCGGATGGTTTCACTTATAGGAGGATTATAGGGAACCAGATAAGCTATTAAGGGAAAAAATAATAACAATACAAAACACAACAAAACAAAAGCAGATAGACAATTATAAACCAGAGACATCCTGCAGGGGAAGAGGGGAGGGAGGGAGGAGCACAGGGGACTGAGGTGATGGTGCATTGGTGAAGGAAATACTGTGGGGACTACACCTGAGGGGGCGGGGAAAAGGAAACAGTTTAAAAATGAACAATGATTAAAAAATATATAAATAAAAGAAAAATTTTAAAAAACAATGCTATTATGGACATGAGTGCACAAATACCTGTAGAATCCCTGCTTTTAATTTTTCGGGTATGTACCCAAAGAGGAATTACTGGATCATATGGTAATTCTCTGTTTAATTTTTTTTTTTAAAGATTTATTTATTTATGCATACAAGAGCTGGGGTACAGGCCAGAGATGCTGGGGGGTCGGGGTGTGAGAAGATCCACCAGAGAAAGAGTGGGGAACAGAACAGGCAGATTATCTGAAATACACTGCTGAGGGGAGCAGCAGGCAAGACAGGAGAGGTCTGCCTTGCCATGTGGGTTTCTTCCTGGCCGGCCGGCCGGGGATCGAACTCGCGCTGCAGAAGCTGCAGATTGCTTCATAGTGCAGTGCTTAATCCCTTGGGCCACCAGGGAGGCCCTGTTTAATTTTTTTTTTTTTTTAAGAATTATTTTATTTATTTATGCATTGAAGAACTAGGGTGTAGGCCAGGGCTGAGAAGATTCACCAGAGACAGTGGGAAGAGGAAAAGTTGGATTTACTGAAATACACTGCTAAGGGGAGCAGAAGGTGAGACAGGAGAGTTCTGTTGTGCCATGTGGATTAGCTCCCTCGCTGGGGTTGGAACTCAGACCATAGTGGTGATAGTGCTGACACTTAACCCCTATGCCACCGGGGAGGCCCTGTTTAATTTTTTTTTTTTTTTTTTTTTTTTTTACGATTTATTCATGCATACAAGAGCTGGGGTACAGGCCAGAGATGTGGGGGGTGACAGGATTCACCAGAGACTGAATGGTGAGCAGAACACTCAGATCTACTGAAATACACTGCTGAGGGGAGCAGCAGGCAAGATAGGGGAGGTCTGCTGGACTCTCTGGGTCACCTCCTTGGCCGGGGATCGAACTCTTGCTGCTGCAGCTGCGTACGGCTTCATAGTGCTGCGTCTTACTTAGCTCCTTGTACACCAGGGAGGCTCACCTGTTTGAATTTTTTTTTTTTTTTAAGATTTATTTATTCAAGCACTGTGTATAGTCAGAAGTGCCAGAGGGTGAGAGAATTCACCAGAGCCAGAGCAGAAAGCAGAACAGGCAGACTGACGAAGTACACTGCTAAGGGGAGCAGCAGGTGGCAGGAAAGGTCTGCGCGCCATGTGGGACCCTCACCCGGGGGCCTGGGATCGAACCGGTGCTGCTGTGGGCAGCTTCACAACCCAGAGGCTGTGGGCAGCTTCGCAACCCAGTGCTCAACTGCTGCGCCACCAGGGCAGCCCTAAATTATTATTATTTTTTTTAAAGATTTATTTATTTATACAAGAACCGGGGCACAGGCCAGATGCGCGAGAGGGTGAGAAGCTTCACCAGAGACATAGCGGGGAACAGAACAGGCAGACTGACGAAATACACTGCTGAGGGGAGCAGTGGGCGCGACAGTGGAGGTCTGCTGCACTATGTTGGACCCTCACTGACTGGCGGGGATCAAACCGGCACTGTAGAGGCTGGAGACAGCTTCACAGCGCTGTGCTCAACCGCCTGTGCCACCAGGGAGGCCCTGTTTAAATTTTTTAAGGGTTTTTGGTTGGTTGGGTTTTTGGTAACATGCTTTTCTTTTTCTACAGAAAAACTAAAGTTCTGAATATTTCTGTGAAAATGATATGTAGACAAATTTTTAAGAAATTTGCTTCATTGTGAAATATCTCAAACATAAAAGTTAGAGGCCCTCCCTGGTGGCGTGGGGGTTAAGTTGAGGCACTATGAAGCTATCCGCAGCTACTGCAGCACAGCACTGATTTCAATCCTGGCAGGAGTTTAGTCCCTGGCGGGCCAGGGAGCAACCCACATGGCACAGCAGACCGCTCCTGTGTCACCCGTTGTTCCCCTCAGCAGTGTATTTCAGTACATCTGCCTGTTCTGCTCCTCCCTGTCTCTGGTGAATCCTCTCCTCTCCTGCACCTTTGGCCTGTACCCAAGCTCTTGTATGCATAAATACATCTTAAAAAGATATATATATAGGGCCTCCCCTGGTGGCGCAGCAGTTGAGTGCTGGGCTGCGAAGCTGCCTGCAGCCTCTGCAGCGCTGGTTCGATCCCCAGCCGCAGGTGAGGGTCCCACATGGTGCACAGACCTCTCCTGCTGCGCCTGCTGCTCCCCTCAGCAGTGTACTTCGTCGGTCTGCCTGTTCTGCTCCCTGCTCTGGCTCTGGTGAATTCTCTCACCCTCCCATGCTTCTGACTGTACCCCGTGCGTGTGCGTGTGTGTGTGTGTGTGTGTGTGTGTGTGTATGGCCTCCCCAGTGGCGCAGCGGTTGAGTGCTGGGCTGCGAAGCTACCCACTGCCTCTGCAGCGCCGGTTTGATCCCCAGCTACCAGACGAGGGTCCCACCTGGCGCACAGACCTCTACTGCTGCGCCCACTGCTCCCCTCAGCAGTGTACTTCGTCGGTCTGCCTGTTCTGCTCCCTGCTTTGGCTCTGGTGAATTCTCTCACCCTCCCGCGCTTCTGACTGTACCCAGTGCTTGTAGAAATAAATAAATAAATCTAAAAATAAATATATATATAAAAGATATATTTACCTTATTAAGATTGTTTAGTCTGAAATTTGGGGAAAGTTTTCCAGTTCTTGGACCTCTCCTATTTTAAGTATGTATGGTATGATGTCATTTTTTTAATATAAATTAAGGAAAGGTGATAATAACATATATATATATTTAAAGTTGAGGGAAGAGATCATCTAGATTCTTTTCAACTACCTAAAGTAAATTTGGAAGAAGTATTTATTCCTGAGTATTTTTGAAATAGTCTTTCAGCTCTTCATCTCAAGTTTTATTTTCTACCTAGGCTGGAGGTAAAGCTGGAAAGGACAGTGGGAAGGCCAAGGCTAAAGCAGTATCTCGTTCACAGAGAGCTGGACTACAGGTAAATATATCCATGTTGTTTGGTTCATTAAATTATTTTCTTTAGTGTTCATGATCCATACGTTTCATTAATTACCAAAATGTATTTGTACTACCTTGGTAACAAGATTATTAAGATTAAGATCAAGTTATGAAAAGATCTTAAATGAGTTTAGTCATTTTGCTCTCTTAAAATCTATTGTCTTTTTTTTTTTAATGTATTTTAACAGCAAAGTTACAGGAACAGCACAGAAGACAATAAAAACATGTACATGCAGCTAAGAAAATTACAGTGAATGGATGGAATCTACTATATGATAAAAATGCAACAAACATCAGTTAGTTGACATCAATAAGAAATGTACTTGTTTTTTAAAAATCCAAGTGTTGGCATGGTCCAGAAAAATTTAACAGGTTTATTTATAATTGTTGTAAAGTTGAATTGCCCAAACTTACTTATTGAACATTTTGACTTGCATTAATGTTTTATGTCTCTGCGTTTATATTAAAATTTTACACACAAATGAAAATGGAAAACTGTCAATACCTGATTTCTGTCCCCCATTTTTCCATTTGCAATCATATACTTGGGTGCCTTTAAACCCCGTGGGGAAGAAATAGCTAATGTTCAAAATTACCAGTAACAGGGAGAAGTTTTTTTTAGAATGAAATGTTTTCCACCTAGTGGATTCTTAAGCATGGTCTTCACTGTGACACTCTAGCTGGATGTCTTTCGGCACAATTGTTATAGTTTTGGCATGGATAGCACACAGATTGGTGTCTTCAAAAAGGCCAACCAGATAGACCTCACTTGCCTCCTGCAAAGCATCAATAGCTGCACTATGGAAGTGCAAATCTGTTTTGAAGGCGTGAGCAATTTTCACACTATGTGCTAGAAGGGAGATTTGCAAATCAGAAGTTGAGGACTACTGATAATATCTTATTTCATGAGTGCCACTGTAGCTGGGCTTTAACAATGAGCTTTCTTCATCTCTCCAGTAGAGGGCATGTTCTTGGGAGCTTCTCTTGTAGGCAGTTGCTTCCTTGGTGCTTTACCTACCACCCCTTGATTTGCAGGCAGTCTGCTTTGTATGAGTCGTGGTAGAAACCTCCTTATTTACCTCCTTCTTCAGCTGGATCTCAGCCAACACTAAATTTATTTTTTCAAAAGATTTATCCATTTAAAAGATTTATCCATTTATCTTGTATCCATACAAGAACTGGGGTACAGGCCAGAGGTGGGGGAGTGTGAGAGGATTCACCAGAGGCAGAGTGGGGAACAGAACAGGAAGACTGACTGAAATACACTGCTGAGGGGAGCAGCAGGCGAGACAGGAGAGGTTGGCTGCACCATGTGGGTAGCTCCCTGGCCAGCTAGGGATCGAACTCGTGCTGCAGAGGCTGCAGACAGCTCAACCCCTTGCACCACCAAGGATGCCCCAAACAATAAATTTATTATTCCTAGAGTTTCTAGAGTTTAATTACCTTTGTTTCTCTTCTAAATTGTGCCATATTGAGGGGCCTCCCCTGGTGGCGCAGCGGTTGAGCGCTGGGTTGCAAGGCTGCCTGCAACCTCTGCAGCGCCAGTTTGATCCCCGGCCACCGGCGAGGGTCCCACCCAAAAAAAAAAATAAATAAATAAATAAATTGTGTCATATTAAAGTGAGTACCCTGTAGTTTTTGTTGTTTTTTTTTTTAAAGAAGGTGTTTGTAATGGTACATTCACTTTCAGGATGAGATAGAATTTTGGTTAAAATAATGAACTTTTAGTCTTCTAAATATGTCCCCAATAGCTTTCCTTCTAGATTAAGTTCAGAATACTGTTTCAAGCTTCATATATTCGTATATTGAATTGTTGCAACTTTAGCTCACAGATTCAAAATTTTCTGAATGAGTGATAATTAATACCTATGTGTGAGCTATTTTTTAACCAGATGCTCTGAAGGCTGAACTGTAAGGTTTGGATTTTATTCTCTTGGCAGTGGTGAGCCATTGAAAGTTTTTGAGCAAGAGGATGGCATAATCCAGGTGGTACTGATGGAAGGAAGGTGGGACCTTAACTTGATAGGCACATTCTATACTTTAGAGCTTCATGTAATTATCAATTAGAATTTATATGAAGTGGGCCTCCCCGGTGGCGCAGCAGTTGAGCGCTGGGTTGCGAAGCTGCCCGCATCCTCTGCGGCACCGGTTCTATCCCCGGCTGCTGCCCGGCCACCGGAGGAGGGTCCCACATGGCGCGCAGACCTCTCCTGCCGCCCGCTGCTCCCCTCAGCAGTGTACCTTGGCCCTTCTGCCTGCTCTGCTCCCCGCTCTGGCTCTGGTGAATTCTCTCACCCTCCCGTGCTTCTGACTGTACCCAGTGCTTGTATAAATAAATAAATAAATAAATCTTTTTTAAAAAAAAAGAATTTATATGAAGTGGGAGATAGAAGATATATGAAAACTATTACAGTGGTTTAGGAATAACGTGTAATGCATACTTGGACTGGGTGAAATGAAAAGGAATAGCAGGCATGTGTGCAAAAAGTAGGAGGAGAGGTACATTGTTGAGGAAAGTCAAAGGTTCAGAACCTAAGGGATAGAGGAGTTTGTAGTAGGGGCAAGTTTAAGATAAGTTTTAAGTGGGGTGACTTTGCACCAAAAATATTTGGTATTGGAAAATAGCCAAAAGTTATAGATTTGAGTCCGGCTTTCCAAGAGATTTGAGGTTATTTATGTAAAATTGGTTAATTTGTGCTATGCATACAAGGACATAGGTGAACCCCTCAGAAAACACTCTGCAGCCTGAAAAGAAACGGTTTTCAAGGTACTACTATGTGCTGGACAGCATGCGAATCACTGGATGCAGGGGTGCAGGTAGGGAGATGTTAAGGTATTGATCCTGTTTTAGGGAGCTCAGAATTACTTAGGGGAAGCATGTAACCCAAAAAAAAGAAAAAGACATGCCTTTTCTCAAGAGTGCAAACTAACGTGGCTATTAGCCACGTTAAATATCACTACTGCTTTTTTAAAAGGGTGTGTAACAGAAGCCAAGTTTAGATTGGAAGAAAACAAATGACAAGAAAGTAAGGGTTTCAGAATTTGCTTTTAAATGTTGCCTTTGGTAAAGCGCTATCTAGACTATAACTAGAAGCAGTCAACGTAGACATGTGGAGAAGTTTTAAGTGAAGCATGCAAAAAGGAAAGGAATCAATGGGAAAGAACTTGGAGCTGTTGCAGTGATGGAACCAGTTAAGGGGATGGGGTGAGGAAGGTCTTGGAAGAAAGAGAGTGAGGGTCAAGGACACAGACAGATAGGATTAGGATCCTTTGAAATGAGGAAATACCCTTTCTCAGAAAGTAGAAAGAGTCACAATGAGAGAATAGTGTTGATTTTTCTAAACGCTCAGGTTACCTCTTGAAACTAAGGAAAAGAGAATGAAATTACAGCCTAAGGAGGATGGTGGGAGTTGGGGGCTTAGTCACAGGAGGCTGTTTACCAAATTAACTAGATGCCAGTATACCTTTACTGGGCCACATGGACTGTGCAGTTGATGACAGCATAATTTCTCTTCGTTTTAAAATGACACTTCATATTATGTAAAAATTCTTAAAACCCAGTACTGGTTTGTGGTTTTAACTTTTAGGTGTCCTTCAGGAGTGTAAAAGCAGGCATGAATAGGTGGGGCTGATTACTAGGATATAGCATGTAGGAACTGTTGACTAGCGAATAGGTTGTCTTCTAAAACATGTAACTAAATTGTATTTTATTTTATACTTTAGTCATATTATCCAATCTTTGATTACACTCGGGAGTGCCATCTTGAGACTCTTCAGTGATTCCCATTTGGATGTTCTGTTTCAGTTTCCTGTGGGCCGTATCCATAGACACTTAAAGACTCGCACCACAAGTCATGGAAGGGTTGGTGCCACTGCTGCAGTGTACAGTGCTGCGATTCTGGAGTACCTCACTGCTGAGGTTTGTGTGGAGAGATGTCTGTAAATATGTGGGAATCCAAAAGCTGTCCTAGACTGAAACCCATGGAATGTGTGTTTGAAATAAAAAATGATACATGGTCATTGCTTTCATTAATGGCAGTTTTAGATACATCTTACCAACCTTAACACAGTGCCAGTGTCAAAAGAACCTTGGTATACTCATATTTAAAGATGAGCAAGGGGGCCTCCCCGGTGGCGCAGCGGTTGAGCGCTGGGTTGCGAAGCTGCCCTCAGCCTCTGCAGTGCCGGTTCGATCCCCGGCTGCTCCCCGGCCACCGGAGGAGGGTCCCACATGGCGCGCAGACCTCTCCTGCCGCCCGCTGCTCCCCTCAGCAGTGTACTTCGGTTCTTCTGCCTGCTCTGCTCCCTGTTCTGGCTCTGGTGAATTCTCTCACCCTCCCGCGCTTCTGACTGTACCCAGTGCATGTGTAAACAGAACAAACAAACAAACAAATAAATAAATAAATAAACATGCCTCTATAAAAAAAAAAAATAAAATAAAGATGAGCAAGGCTCAAAAATCCATGTTTTTAAGTGACCTAACAAATTATAAAATAATTTAAAACTGCTACAAATTAAGCAAACTCTAAAGTGTGTATATCATCAGGTGACATTTGTGAATTTATAGCATAACCTCTTAGCTAATGTAGATAAGGGATTGGATAAAGGTTTGCCAGTATGATGACACATTTTAAAAATTACGCATTTTGATGAGAGGAAATTTGGTAGAAGACTTAGCGAAGTCTTCTGTTTCTCTGTGTGGTTATTATATGCATACCGTGCAGTATTTGCAGTTTAACCTTTCAAAACAATGAATTATTTGGGCAGGAGTTCTTAATTCTTCTGTCATGGGTCATCACTTCTCTAGCCCTTTCCCTCCTAAGGAAAACATGGGAAGCCATCAAATTCTTCCTAACTACATTCCAAGCTGGGAAGATTGAGTAACAAGTAAGTCCAAGTAGAGATAGCCAGCCTAGTAGAAACAGGTGGAGAAAGAAGTGGTTGGAAACCAGGCTGAAAGATTTAGGTTTAATCTTTTTTATTAATTATCATTACTGTCATGTCATTAACCCCACCAATCATTTGTATCTGTTGGAGAATTAACATTGAATTACAGATAGTTTCAGCTTTGCTATGTCATGAACCAGGGATTTTATGTTGGCAGTTTGGTACTGTTTGAGAACCTCTTTCCTCCTTATCTGTCTTAACACCAGTTTTCATTTAGCTGCAGAATTTTCAGAAAGGCAAAAACATTTTGTTCAGTCTAGTGGAAGCATGAGCAAGGGTCAGAATCTCTTAAGTTCCATCTAAAAAACCCATTTTGTTTATCCTTGGGAACTTTGACTGCAGAAAGCGAGAATAAGAGAGAGAGGTGTGTGCGCCTGTGAATACGTGCCCACGTAAACATGCATGCGCATGCATTTAGTCAGCATATTTTCCAGAATTTTTAAGTTTGTAGTTTTAATAATTAGTCGAGGTAAAGAAAATATAGAAATCTAAGGTTGAGATCATCACTTTTTAACCTAGATTTTGTATTAGAATCACTTGGGGAACTTAAAATAGTATGGGGCCTCACCCCAGCCCACTCTGTCCCTTGGGAGAATGGAGTAGGGCACTGATAGTTTTGAAAGCTTGTGAATTGCTTTGATTGTACACTGAGGGTTAAGAGAAGGCTCTATGGGGAGTTACTTTTGTATTTGTATCAAAAAGGTTTATTGTGCCTTTGTAGTGTACAAAAGCAACAGAAAAACTAAAAATTCAGTTTTGTGGCCAGCTGGGACTTTGAAAATCTTTTTTTTTTTTTTTTTTTTTAATGTATTTGAAAGAGCAGGTTTATTAGAAAAGGGACAGAAGAGTGAAGTATGCTTGCATAGACACAAGTGGGCCGAAAGAGCTGCCCCAAAAGGCACAGGTTTGCTGAGAGAGGCCTACATAGTTGCAGGCAGGCCACTTGAGGAGCGCTGCTTCCACGGAGGGAGGTCAGTGAGGAGAAGCCCCGGCAGGGTACAGGTCGTGGGCAGGCAGGAAGGCTGCTGCCCTGCAGAAGGAGAAAGTTGGTGAAGAGAAGTACCTGCATTGTCACACGTGGGCAGAAAGACTGCTGCTGAAATTCCTCTTAGTAGGAAATTCCCATTGCGAAATAAAGGACTATTAGCGTATTGCCTATAAGTTTATGGGGTTCAATGATCATGTTAAAAACTCTGAATAAGAAATTATATAAACTTTTCTGCAAATATTAAATAGAATCTGGTCAAAAATAGACTACATGAGTATATTACAGTGTAATTTTTCTAGATGTTCAGTTTTTCTAGATGTTTTTCTTTATCCGTCCTTTCTATAGCGGTGCTCAGTTTTGTAGCTCTGTTACACAAAATTACTGTAAGAGGGCCAAATGAGGGAAGGAGAGTTCTGTAAAGCATTATAGATAGAACTATGAAAAAGAAAAATGTGTTAATGTTAACGGTAGTGGCAGGGGTGCTGTATGTACTGTATGATCTGTATGTACTGTATGATCTGTTTAGCTATAATTGCAAGTTTACACCTGAATCCTTAAAACATTTGCCTCTGATTTGATGTGTTATCTCACAAATGCTTTGTAGGTGTTGGAGCTAGCAGGTAATGCTTCCAAGGACCTCAAAGTGAAGCGGATCACTCCACGTCACTTGCAGCTTGCAATCCGTGGTGACGAAGAATTGGATTCTCTCATCAAGGCTACCATAGCTGGGGGTGGTATGTACTGTTACCTCTACTGTCTCGATTGTTTTTGGCTTTTCTAACTTATATTTCAGAACAATGATCCAGTGCATTTGAAAAGCCAACTTAAAAAAAAACCAACTTAAATTCTTCTTGTATTTTTTTAAATATTTATTTTTATTTATGCATACAAGAACTGGGGTACAGGCCAGAGGTGTGGGGGATGAGAGGATTCACCAGAAACAGAGTGGGGAGCAGAACAGGCAGATCTACTGAAATACACTGCTGAGGGGAGCAGAGGGCAAGACAGGAGAGGTCTGCTGTGCCATGTGGGTCACCTCCCTGCTGGGGGATCGAACTCATGCTGCAGTGGCTGCAGATTGCTTCATAGTGCTGTGTCTTAACCCCTTCAGCCACCAAGGAGCCCTCAAAGTTAGATTCTAGACATGTTTTTTGTTTGCTTGGTTTTTTTTACAAGCTCCCCAGGGAGACAGACCTTTCATTAGGAAGGAGATGTTGTGTCTCCTCGAAGCCCCAGCTTTTGGTGGTGGGGGTGGGCAGTGGTGTGTATGTGTGTATGTTTCTTGCGTTTGTGGCATAGGCCACAGTCTCAGCACTGTCTCCGCTACAGCCTGAGTTTGATCCCCAGCCAAGGAGCTACCCCATATATGGCACTGCAGGCCTCTCCTGTCTCACCCGCTGCTCCCCTTCGCAGCATATTTCAGTCAATACACCTGTTCTGCTCCCCACTCTGTCTCTGGTGAATCCTCTCACACCCCCATCTCTGGCCTACACCCTAGTTCTTCTACACACAGAAAATTAAAGCTTATCATATTACATGCAATTTTAGGAGGGGAGTCCAGACCCTAAGGGGGCAAGGGGGCAGGGACTTAGTTATAGATACTTTAACAGGATCAGAATGTGAAAGGAACTTAAGTAAATTTCTGTCTTTGTATAATTGCTGTTTGGTTGAGACATTGACATTATAAAATATATAGCCAGCTTAGATTTGTTTTTAATAATACTGTTTCTTTTCATTTTATTCTAGGTGTGATCCCTCACATCCACAAGTCTCTGATTGGAAAGAAGGGACAGCAGAAAACTGCTTAGAGAGTTGTTTTAACCAACCCTCTTCTTCCCCATTATTGTACTGTTACTGAGACAGAAGAAATAGTGGGGATATGTGGAATTTTTAAAAAACAGTTAAATGGAAAAGCATAGATCATTACTGTAGACATGATAAAAGAAACATTTGTACGTTCTTAGACTCGAAGTTTGATAAAAGTACTTTTTCTTGTGGCAACAGTTGTGTGTTGATTGGCTAGGTTTCTCCCATGTGTTTTATACAAAAATGGAATTGATAAACCATTTTTTTAAAAAATAATTTGTCTCAAAACTGTTCTGTTCATAATGTGTTTGGAAATATTTTGCTTAGACTAGATTCTTTAGATTTCATATTAGCTATATATAATCTTAAAACAGAAATTGGGGATATAGCTTTATTGTGATTGGTACTGTAGTATATTGAATCTTAGATGCTGTCCATTTGTAGTATGCACCATTATGTTACATACCATTAAAGAAAGAAAAATTGCCAATTATACCATGATAGGCCATCAGTTCTGAGGTGTATCCCAGTTTCAGCAATGTTAGAATATGAAAACATGCATTTAAGATTAATGAAATAGAAATAATTTATTACATAGTGAGTACTTACTATGTGGCAGTCCCTGTGCCAAGCACTTTAGTGATGAAGATATTTTAGTAGTACTACTTTTTTATATAGTATATTGATTTTTTTTAAAGATTAGTTTATGCACACAAAAACAGAGGTATAGGCCAGAGGTATGGGGGGTGAGGGGATTCACCAGAGACAGAGTGGGGAGCAGAACAGGCAGACTGAAATACACTGCTGAGGGGAGCAGCGGGCGAGACAGGAGAGGTCGGCTGCACCATGTGGGTATCTCTCTGGCCAGCCAGGAATCAAACCCGCGATGCAGAGGCTGCAGATAGCTTCATAGGTTGCGTCTTAACCCCTTGCGACACCAGGGAGGCCCTTTGATTTTTTTTTTAAGATGTGTTTATTATCCATACAAGAGCTGGGGTGTAGGCCCCCGGTTGTGGGGGCAGGACAAGAGGATTCACAGAGACAGAGTAGGGAGCAGAACAAGCAGATCTACTGAAATACACTGCTGAGGGGAGCAGTGGGCAAGACAGAAGAGGTCTGCTGTGCCATGTGGGTCAACTCCCTAGCCAGGGATCGAACTCATGCCACAGTGACTATGGAAAGCTTGATAGTGCTGAAACTTAACCCCTTGTGCCACCAGGGAGGCCCTACTCCTTAATTAAAAAATTTTACTCCCAATTTCCTATAAGGTGTGGAACGTGAAGCTAACAAAAGTTAAAATGATTTGCCAGAAAACATTTATCTGATAGAAAATGACAGGATAAAAGTAGCATTTAGTAATTAATACTATCTTTTTAAAATTGTGAGATTTGCATTAATGTGTTAAATGGTCCATCAAAAAATTCTATTTCTGCCTGGAAGTCTTAATTTAAAAGAAAGTTTTTAATGTTTTATAAAACAACGCAAAACAAGTCTCATTTTTTTAAAACTTACTTTATTACAAATATTTTTAAAAATACAGAAAAATGAAGGGCCTCTCCAGTGGCGCAGCAGGTGAGCGCTGGCTTGCGAAGCTGCCCGCAGCCTCTGCAGAGCCAGTTCGATCCCCGGCCGCAGACGAGAGTACCACATGGCACACAGACCTCTCCTGCCTCCCGCTGCTCCCCTCAGCAGTGTATTTCGTCAGTCTGTCTGTTCTGCTCCCTGCTCTGGCTCTGGTGAATTCTCTCACCCTCCCTCGCTTCTGACTGCACCCAGTGCTTGTATAAATAAATAAATAAATCTTTCAAAAAAAAAAAACAAACTTTAAAAAAATATACAGAAAAATGAAGAGAATGGTGTAATGAACCCGTGTACTTATCCTCCAACTTTAGTACTTATCCTGATGTCAGTTTTGTTTTACCTGTATCCCCACCTGTACGACCATTGTAGTATTGATTTGAATCCCTTTCTAGGTGCAGGTGCATTTTCATGTGGTCATCAGTATGTCTTTCTACCATGGCGCACTTTAGTTGGTTTCTTTGAATCAGTCTAGACAGGATCTGTAATTTTGATTTTGTTGATAATCTCTTAAATTTCTTACCTGTGGGTTTCCCTCCTTTTTTTCTTGAAATATTCTTGAAGTAATTGAGTTTGTAATATAGAATTACTCTTAAATGTGGATTTTACTAAGTACATTCTAACAGTATCTGAATTTTTCCTTGTATCTTTAATAGGTCTAGAGGGATTTTAATTTTTTGTTCCACTTTGCAGTTTCACAAAAATAGTTCATAGGTGATACTTCCTGTTGTATCACATAGAGAGCGCCTAGTCCCTGCCTGTCTCATTTTCTAATGTTAAAACTAAATGGTAGGGGGCCTCCCTGGTGGCACAGCTCTTGAGCACTGGGTTGGAAAGCTGCCCGCAGCCTCTGCAGCGCCGCTTTGTTCCCCCGATGCTCCCCGGCCACCGAGGAGGGTCCCACATGGCGCAGACCTCTCCTGCCGCCTGCTGCTCCCCTCAGCAGTGTACTTCGTCCATCTGCCTGCTCTGTTCTGCTCCCCGCTCTGGCTCTGGTGAATTCTCTCACCCTCCCACGCTTCTGACTGTACCCAGTGCTTGTATAAATAATAAATAAACCTTTTTAAAATAAATAAATAAAACTAAATGGTAGGTTTGGATGCTGCCAACCCACTTCATCCACTAGTGATCATTGCCCAGATTTATATCTCATTAGGGTTTACCAACAGGTGACATTTTGCTATTCCTTTTGCATGTGGAATTAATTTATAAAGAACTTTGTTCTTTGATTTATAAGACAGGATTTAAAATTTTTTAATTCTGGGCCTCCCTGGTGGCACAAGAGGTTAAGACACGACCTATGAAGCTATCTGCAGCCACTGCAGCATGAGTTGGATCCCCAACCAGGGAGCTACCCACATGGCACAGCAGATCTCTCTTGCCTCGCCCGCTGCTCCCCTCAGCAGTCTGTTTCAGTCAATCTGCCTGTTCCCCACTCTGGTGAATCCTCTCACCTCTCCCCACAACTCTGGCCTGTACCCAGTTCTTGTATGCATAAATAAATCTTTAAAAATAATTTTTTTTTAATTCTGATTGAAATATCTTGGCATATATTTTGAAAAAGTTACATTGAGAGAAGACCTACAGTTATTCCTATGTGAAGTTTTAGTTTTCAGAAACCAAAATAATTATTTAGTAAAATAACAGGACAGGATCTTGTACCAGTTTTCTAGGTAATTGTGTCAAATTACTATTACCTTTTGGTCTTGTAGTTATTTGACTGCCTATGTTCCCAGGATTATATTTTTTTGTTTTCTAACAGAAAAATGTAGTAACTGGGCCAAGTATTCATGGCCTGCCCGCACAGATTGTCCAGTCTTGCATGTCTCTGCCACCCCTTCCTCTGGTTTGTTTTAAAGTATGGCTCAGATATATTTCATCTATAACCTCAGTGTATAATAAAAGAAAGCTTTTCAAAGTGTTTGAACTTTTAAAAAAAAACTCTTGATATTTAATTTTTTTTTTTTAAGATTTATTTATTTATACAAGCACTGGATACAGTCAGAAGCGCGGAAGGGTGAGAGAATTCACCAGAGCCAGAGTGGGGAACAGAACAGGCAGACTGGCAAAACACACTGCAGAGGGGAGCAGTGGGCGCTGCAGGAGAGGTCTGTCGTTGCCAGTGGCCAGGGATCGAACCGGTGCCACAGAGGCTATGGGCAGCTTCGCAGCCCAATGCTCAACTGCTGCACCACCAGGGGAGGCCCTGACATTTAAATTTTTATCTTTAATTCCAGTAAGTGGCACAACATAGTAAGATGATAGCATTTCAGAGGAGGGAAGTTGTTTTTTTAAAGACATAGACCAGCTCTCAATCATTGCACAGGTCAGTAAAGGGAAGGGTACCAGTGCAAATCTCCAGATGTGGTTCTTGATAGCTCTGTGCAAGTACAAATTTCTGACCTGTGTGCTCTGATGGGGAAATTCCATACCTGAAAACTTCATCTTTTCACTGTACAGAGTAAGTCAATATTTGAAATTTGTCCCCTAAGTACATCTAGGGAAAAAAAAAATTGCTCACCAGAATTTCACCAGATCCACAGTGACTGAGGATGGACATGTGGATATTTGCACAAGTTGGTGGTTTGTGGAAGTGCAACAGCAAGAGGAGAGGCAAAGGTGGTTGTGGTTGTGACCAGGGTGTCAGTCATTCCAGTCAGCCAAACTAGCTAGGACCAGACAGTGTCACGGGTGGACCTGGCACAGTGAATATTCAGAAAAGGGAGTGCACAATTACATACACACAGTTCAGAAAATCTGACAACAGGCAGTACAGGTGACAGCCCCCTCCCCTCTTCTGGGCTATCAAGAAGACCACCTGCTTACCCTGTAGAGGAGCATCAAGGAAGAGGTCCTGGAATTTGGGTTCTTTGAAGCAGTAAACTTAGCTTATGCTGGAGGAAGTGGAGAAGAGGTGATGCAAATCTCTACCCCACCAAGATGGTCTGAACTCCAAAATTGCCCGTCCCGCTCCTTCAATTGCTGCCAGGTTTAAATTAGGCTTTGGGACAAAAAAAAAAAATTCTGGAATTAGCAGTGGTGGTTGTACAACGTGAACATATTGAAAGTCCTGAATTATACACTTTAAGATGGTTATAATGGTGAATTTTATGTGAATTTCAACCTCAAAAACTTTTAATTACAAAAAATAAATTAGTAGGGCCTCCCCGGTGGCACAGCGGTTGAGCACTGGGCTGTGAAGCTGCCGGGAGCCTCTGCAGTGCCGGTTCGATCCCTGGCCGCAGGCGAGGGGCCCACATGGCACACAGACCTCTCCTGCCGCGCCCCCTGCTCCCCTCAGCAGTGTATCGTCAGTCTGCCTGGGTTCCCTGCTCTAGCTCTGGTGAATTCTCTCACCCTCCCACGCTTCTGACTGTACCCAGTGCTTGTATAAATAAATAAAATCTTTAAAAAATAAATAAATTAGTGAGCAACATAGTCAAGATGATTAAAGGTGATTGCAAGAAACCGAAAGTCAGTATGCCAAAAGAAGTTATGTCTTCTCTGTGCAGATATGCAGAGAGGGACATAAAAACTAGATTCCTGTCAATTTTGCAAAATGTTCTCAGAAGATGATATCTGGGAAAGAAGTCTAACTTTGAGGCAATGGCAAA